CCATATGTAATATAAATATAAACAACAACTTCCCATGATTAAAATTTGCATGAAACTATTAATTTGGAGACAACTGTTCTTTCAACTAACAATTATGGTAAAATTGATGGAACAATTGCTTTGAAAGTGCAAAAATAATTGAATAATTCATATCTAGAGAAGAATGAACGTTTGCTAACTTTCGCAAAAATATATATCGAAATGAAATCTATTAAATAAAATGGCACAATTTACTTTACACTCTTATCTACAATACAGCAGTGACGTGTCCCTCAACATCAATTAATAAAATATAAGAGTTTCAATCATTTTTTTCTTGTCAATAAGTTAAGTTTCATGATGATAAATTTCATATTCATATTCAGGAGTTGGAGTGGGATTAGACTATTGAATGAAATTCCACAAGCCAAAAATTAATATAATTGTTATATTGCAGAAATACCTTATCTTCTATATATATAAAAATAAGTCGGGTTTTCCTTCCTGACGATATATTTTGTATTTTATTTGTATTTGATTTTGTATTCGTTGGAAATGTCTCGGACTCCGTGAGGTTTATAGCAAAGAAAATTGAAGAAAAATTTTAACAGAAAAGCAAATCTTTTTTCACATACAGCGTGTCATCTCTGATACTTAGCATGTACTACAAACCAATATTTTAAGTAGATGGTGCCGGTAGATACATTGTTTGACAGCTACTCATTTCCTTTTCAAATATAAAACAAAAAAAAATTATTCATCTTTCTCACGAAACCATCTGGTGGCGAAACGGAGTTCGTCAGGTTTGCTAGTATGCTTATAAAGTAAAGTGTCATACACCAAATAATGCAAATTTAATTGGTTATAAGAAAAGTTTCCTGCAAACCCAAGTTACATGTATCTTTCATACACAATCGTAATCAAATGGAGCATCCTACATGACAAATAAGACGAATTTTAGGTACTCTAGACTCACAAATGCAACGCCACTGTGGTTGTGAAGTATTATTCTATGCAGTAGGCAGTACAAGGCATTGTTGAGAATGTGCTAAGAGACTTTCCTTTCTCTTTTCATAGATCGCCTTAATACCAGCAAGCAGCAAGCCAGACAGATACTGCGGGAAATTATGAAACACAGGAGAGGTCGCAATCAATTTACTTTGAAAGTTTCAAAACGAAACGGGAACGATTTTCTAAAAGTGCCTCACTCGGCGCAACTATGAAAACGATTCGTCGAGAGTTGATATGCGTTGGCGTGCCAATATATACGCAAATACGAAGAAATGGATATTAATCGTTTCAGTAAATAAGTAGGTAACTATAAATTACTTATTTAAATATCAGAATATATAAATGCAAAATGAATAGTAAAACCACTTCTTCCATTTTTTTACTTATAACTTCTGCAATTGCGCCAGACCATATATCTAAAATTAATCCTCAATGTGCTGAATCTTTGTTTTACATAAAAAAATTAGGGAAACAAAAAATATAGTAATTATAAGCCTATACGTTTGAATAAAAAACAAAAAGTTTTGTTTCAACACATTTTTTATTTGTGTTTTATTAAATTATGTGACTTTCCAAGACACAGCGGCCTAGAATATCGGACTTGCAAACTTTTAATTTTTGTATCAGAACAAAACCAGCTTTCATGATGTGCAGTTTAAGGGTCGCAAACCAGGCGCACATTTCGCGCTAGTGGCCCGATATCAAGAGCAACATATCGGTACCCGAAAAGATCAAATATTTTATGTTTGTTGCCAAGATACTTCAGTGTTCTTTTTGTGTTTTTTGATAAATTGTAATTTTTCTGTTTGTTACTGTTTTATATTTGTTTATAAAGTTTTCAGTAAGAATTGCTCTTATATGCTTTAGGACCGATATGTTCAAACAAATTCAGCTATAATATATAAATTCTAAGTAGTGTATCGAAAGATTAGCCTAATTAATAATACCACATTTTAGGAAGAAACTAGTTGTATAAACTTCTATGAGAAATATACTATAAACTAGTAGCTGCAAGAAAGAGAAAAAAGTTAGAAATCTTCCAGCTATTCAAAATTAGATTACCACTTTAGACGGTTCTGAATATATTTGGATGAAAGTCAAATTTTTGAGAAAGTCAAACTTTGCACGGGATGATCGATTAATAAGAGTTAAGAATGGCACATGACAATGTTACTAATTAATATTATAATGTATTGTTCACTAAATATTTGTAGTAAGTTACTAAGTATTTGCAGTAATAAGTTAAGACAGAAGATTTATCCCAATAGATTATATTCAAACGAACAGGGTTATAAAAGTGTGTAGTTCCGGCAGTGTGTTTGTTGATTTATATTTCGATTTAATTGTATATTTATTACGATATTTTATTAATTGGTATACTCCTGCTATTATTGTATTACTACAAGAAATGATATGATTGTATTGCAAAGTTTAGGTTCAAATGATCTATTATTAAAATTCATTATTTTTCATATCAAACAGAGCCATTGTGCCTGACCCCTTCCTAGCTCTCTGAACATAAAAATCGAGAGATGAACGTCTATGTGAATATATTATATTCTCATATTGTCGAGTTCGGATTTCGATGCATGAAAATGTTATTTCAGGTTGAAAAAGCCTAGCAAAGGTCGCAAATATTGATATCGGATGTCTTGACAATGTTGTAGATATAACATTTATGCGTCATCTAAATAAGAAAGCCATAATTATTAATTAACTAATAGTAATTGGTCGTTTTGACAACGTTATACAATTAAATGCATCATGTCGAGAGAGAAGTCATAATTATTTGGTAAAACATTGAAAGTTTTTGGAAATTGTGACCTGGAATGAATTCCTGAAAGTTACGTGGGTCAAAAGAGGGATAATATTTTGTTTTCAAAGAAAAACTTATTGATCAAAAAAAATTTGAACCTCATTATCTCTGTGCTACATTTAAATATAGAAATTTGTCGACCTGCCGACAACTTATTGAAGCATATGCTCTTCTTTTCTGCGTCTGAGACTATGCGAAAACAATAGAGCAAGACCTTTCTCATCTTGTTAAATTTACATACAAACGCACGTGTGACGAACGGTCTGTGCTATAACTCACTTTCTTCCGCGTACTTGATGAAAAAACAAAATTAGTTAAATTTATGTACTCGTTACGACGAGGAAAGATTGAAGTGAAGACGGTTTACGGAATTGAACGCATCCGCTCGTTTTAAAACTATCTTTTGCTCCCATTTACTGTGATCAAATATAAATTACAGTAGAACCTCGATTATCCGGACCTCAGTTATACGGATTCGCGATTATCCGGACTACCAACCGCGATAGAGTTATACGTATGTACATACCTAGAATTCGAATTTTTGCACGAATTATGATGCAGTTTAGTATATGTATTTAATATAATTAAGGAAATATATGTGCATACATAAGAAAGTTTCAGTTCTTAGTAAACATTAATTTTTGTTGATATCTATGTATGTATTTGTTATTTTTGATAAATACACATCATCATTCTTCGTACATTGCATTATCCGGATTTTTGATTATCCGGATACCTATCAACAACAATTAGTCCGGTTAATCGAGGTTCTACTGTATTTGAAAAAATAATTACGTAGAAATATGTTTAAAATTATTTTGAATTCTTGCACGATTAATTATTAGAATATAATTGCAGAAGAAAAAAATAGATCAAAATAAATAATCAGATTCATTTTAGTTTTTTTTTTCTGATAAATATTCAGTATTAATTGCAATTTATATAAAATTTTAAAAATTCATGTAACTACTGAATTCTTAGAATTTCGCTTGTACTTTGATATGATTATTTTGCTATCAATAAAATCAAAATTTTCAGCACATAAAAATTATTTATTGTAAATGTCTTGATTATTTCAACAATAATATTTGAAACTTGGTAAAACATCAAACATCTTGGCAAACATTTTCAAAAATGATATTTTATTTTTCAAACAAATTAGTATCTAAATCTGATTGTGAGAATATTCAAACATTGATATAGATATAAATTCAAGAAAGAAAAGTTATGCTCTTTATCGCATCAAGATTTTAAAATGAAAATCAAAAAGATTCGTTATTGTTTAATTTCAAAATGCACATAGCATTAAGAAATCCTGACATGTAGAGTCGTGTGACTTGAAATTGATCATGGGTAGGTAGGTCTCTTCAGCAAATAATAGGGACCTAAATTTCAATCGACGTATATTAGTACACGGTAAATCAACTTTTGATATAATAAATATCAAATGCGTATTTATGCAAACAGTATATAGTTCATATAATAAATAGACCAGACAAAGAATTTGGGACAGTACATTCTAATTTCGTGTTTATCGCGGAGATTGTCGAGTACAATATGTCGTTTGGGAGTTCGAATACTTTTCCTTTTCCTTGACACCGATACACAAGATCTCCGATGATTCTTGGCTTAATCTTCAACAACTCGCAGTTTGGTTTCAGGACTTTCTACTTTCATTACGCGACAAATAAATAAAATAAATTTGGCTCATGTCACTACATGGCAAAAAAGCAAGTTAAAGGATACAAATACGTCCGTACATATACCACAAAGTACATAACGCTAAATGTAACACGCTATGTTATTTTCGTGAGAGCGCGCGCTGGCCCTTTGTAGCAGTACTTTCACTTTGGCAAAGGCGAGAAAGTCATAAGTCTTAGTTTCCCAAAGTTGTAACATACGTGAAGGAGTGAATTTAAAAACAGAACCTCCAATATTAAAAGCAGCCAAAGAAACTTGATTCGAATTGAAAAAGTAAATCTCTTATCCCATTAAAAGCTATTGAGGTATGTACATGAAAAATCCTAAATATTTCAAACTACATTTTATAATAAACTACAAAAACAATATATCAAACAATGTACAACGTACTAAAATATATCATTTTAAGAACCCATGATTGTGATGTGAACTCCACATATGTGGTTATGCGCACATATGTAGAGTGTTTTAATTTAAAAAAAAGTAATCTTACCTTTCGTTGGTGTTTTCGAGAAGTGCAGCAGTTGAAGCTCTCTGCAATCTCCGAGTGTGATGATTGCGCCCGTACATCGAATCAAAAGTATATACAATTTAATCTGAACTTAAAATAATCGCTCCCATTCTGAAATCAAAACAAAAATGTATTTTTATCTATCCGTGCTATTAAAAAAAGAAGAAAACAAATATAAATATATAATCAGTATAACCTTGTATCAATTTAGAATAAAATTCATTTCTCTACGAGTCTAATCCTGCACTAGATTTTCATTATTTTAGGTCATTGGATAGGATCTGGTAGATTTGGTTAATATATATAGAGACATTTGACAGGATTGTTAGAATTATAATTTAAAATTAAAACTAGAAACAGAATCAAAAATACGCTATTAAATTTCTCCAAACAGGCTGGCACATTTACCGAGAATTTAATAACACAAATTTCAGTAAAAATTTAAAATATTTGATGTAACACCATTATCAAAATCATTTATTCAAGACTAAGTATAGAGAAGTTATATAAAATAAATGTAGAGCATTCACCATTTTGATTTTGCGCTGATGCCTATTGTCGGTCGAACACATATCGAAATCTGATGTTGCAGAAAAAAAAACACACAGACACAAAGATTTGATCACTTTATAAGATTGTTTTCTATAAATCGCATTGAATGATTTGACAATTTCTCTCATAGATGAAGAAATATTTGAATGTATTTCAGCCATCCACTCAGTGCACTTTAAAATATTATAATGTATCACTTCCCAAGAGAAAAGTAGTCAGCAGAAGGTCTTATAAGGAAATAACGTGAATGAAACATTAAGCTTTAAACTATTTGATGTTATATAATAAAAACTTATCAGCGTTGCACTAATATAAACAAGTATTTATAAATGAAACATTTATACATTAACCAAATATATTCCCACCGAACATACAAGCAATTATCAACGAATGTTTAAAATTAACGACACTAAGAAATGCAAATGAAAACAATGCATACCAATTCGAAACATTTCAAATACCACCGTGCAATACTGAATCAAAAGCAAAACTTTATGACTAAATATAAATGTATGTCAGGTCGAAGATAAATTTGCACTAAAGCACCATCAAATCGCGTTTAAATCCGCAAATAATTCTTCATATTAAATAATTACATAAATAATAATTGAGGTCTTCTCAATGCAGGAAACATCCGGATTTTTGTTGAAAATACTAGTCATTTACAATCAATACACAAAAAAATCATTTATCATTGCAATAAAATTTGTAAAGAAAGGTTCACTATGTATTAGAGTCACTATTAATGAATAATACATAGATCAATTAAGATTTGAACTAGTGGTGCATGGCCTTATGGCAAATTACAGAAGCTTTAATATTTATTGAAAACTTCGAAGAAAAAATGAGATTTTTGAAAAAAATTGACTTCTTTGATAATTTAATCAGTTAGTTCTTCATTTTATCAACCAATTCAAGATGTTTTTTCGGACGCGTTCTCTCAAAAACTGAATTACAATTTTTAGAACTTTTTGTTCCATATCTTCGAAACGGTTGGACCTGACTCGGCCAAAAACTAATCAGCACGTTTCCTTGTCAATAGAAATCGAATGTTTTTTGAATCATTCAAATCGGTTGAACTGTCTTCCTGAAATCGTTGACAAAAATTTGTATCAGCACACACACACATAAATTTTTCGGTATATGCCAAAATGTTCAGAAACCTTTGAAACGTAAAGATTTATGAAAATAATTTAATCTATTATTTCAATGTTTCTAAAAACTGTTTTGCTCCATATCTTCGAAACGGTTGGACCTGACTCGGCCAAAAACTAATCAGCACGTTTCCTTGTCAATAGAAATCGAATGTTTTTTGAATCATTCAAATCGGTTGAACTGTCTTCCTGAAATCGTTGACAAAAATTTGTATCAGCACACACACACATAAATTTTTCGGTATATGCCAAAATGTTCAGAAACCTTTGAAACGTAAAGATATATAAAAATAATTATAGTCTATAATTTTAATGTTCCTAAAAACATTGCTAAATTTTTTTTCGAAAAAGTGGAACCTAAGTAGAAGCAAATTTAATAAAACAGAAGACCCAATTCTATTTACATATTTACAAGCTAAAATTACAACCCATTAAATATTACAATCATATTCGGTAAAATCATGAGGAGAAATTAAATGCAATAGGTGATATTATATTGTGTAGCCCTCATTCCTTCTCAAACGTCTGCGATCGTAATGTGATGGTTTCCGAAGGTCGCAGAGAGAAATCTTCTACCTTCTACCCTCCCTTCGTGTTGCGCGCGACCTCAGCCCTTACGGCAAAATAATCGGAACAAGGTCGAACCCAAGCAGTACTATGGCTATGGGCCGAAGCCCTTGACCGACCTTTGAGAATTACGTACCGTAATATCACTAAGTGTTCGGGTTTTGTTTAACAATTTTTCTATATGACAAACTGACAACAGTGACAAATTAAGAACATAATGTGATGGATGTTTTGAGAAGGAAAATATATAACTAACCTGTCTATTGAGATAGCAAAATTCAAGGAATTACAATACATATACAGGTCATGATTTTTCTAGCGAAAATTTCCAGATATTATTTATTGCTAGCAAGAATATTCTTAAATTTTCAATTATTTATAAAGCATGCGTAATATTAATATTTAGGTTTTGAAACATTTTATTTATTTATTTTGTGTATTTTGTGCTATTTATTCTATTGAGCAAATCATAGAGATTTAAAAAAAATTAGCCTTCATTATTAAACATAGCACTGGTAGTACTTCATGTTGATTTTAATTTAATTTTTCATTATTTAAAATATCCAAAATTGCTTCGCTATCTTCTGTTAATTGATATCGTAAGGGCAGAATTGTATGTATTCATCTTTACTTTTACATCGCATAAGATCGTTTTAGTTTTAACGTATTAAAAATATTGTCCAAAGATTAGTAAAAGATGCAAAGATATTATATATTTCTTGAATGATATTGAAAAAACTAGATTATAAATTTCATATCCAAATCTCGTTTTGGCGCCCTCTAAGGCGTGCGCCCGCATTTTTCGCATGCATAGGTAAGCAATTTTACTATATTTTTCTTACAAATTAATTATTCTCTTGATAATATAAAAAAGAAATAAAAATTAAAAATGTTTAAAGTTTTAATTCTAGAAACTAATACAGTGAAGGGTCTTAAAATATTGGCATTTGACCGTATCCATGATTTTAGCTCTCCAAATAATCTGGGCAAAAAATATATGTATATTATTAATCTAGAATAGTGTCGCAATCGTATAAATTACGACCTCGTTAAAGAAATGTTTTATCACAAAATGGCGTTCTTTTGGATAAAAAAAAGTTTTAAACTTTTTTTAAAATCCTCGATTTTTTTTAAATAGTAAGAATCGGGATTATGGAATGACCGTAGTTCATACTGCAAAGAAGTGTATAAAGAAGATTGTAAAAAATTCAAGTAAAGTTTCGCGGAGGAAGAAAACAAAGATTATTTTGCTGAAACAACGGTATTCTACGAAAATTTAAAAAAATCCTATAGTACACATTCTTGAATAATTAATTGAACTTTGAAAATATTAAAAGAAGAACAAAATCGATTTTTTCAACATTTTAGACCAGAATACCCCAATCCAATTTTGCGACACAACACCTTCAACGCACCCAAAGAAATGATCGAATCGACACGTATAAGAACGCAAGCTTAGTATTTGCAGCAATTTAACTAAAATTCGACTTCTGATATAAAAAAGCACATCATCCTGATTGCCAAATGAAAAATCATCGGCACAAAATGTCATTGTTCAGCAGAGCGTGTGCACATGGAGTCGTGTTATGTAGGTAATCAGGTCTACTCTACTCGTACAATGCTACAGATAATGTCTGACATCAATAAGATGAGGAGGTCTCTCCGAGTATTATCCGTGTGCGTTGCATTGTTGTGGTTAATAGGGTCAGTTTTATTAACAAACACACAAATACTAATGGCAAATGAGTTGTAATATCGACAGCGAACAGATCAATAATATATATATATACATATATATATTATATATATATATATATATATATATAATATATATATATATATATATATATATATATATATAAAGCATAATTAACAATTGTGCCAAAGAATCACAAACATTTGCATTGAATAATAAACTTGTTATAATGATGGTCGTAATGGTTAATAAATATATCACTTTTTCTGGTGCATTGATTGCGTTCAGAGCAACATTAATCATGCGTGATAACCTAGCAGTAGGAATTAGATATAATTTAATGAACAACGGTTGAAAATTGAAAGTCTTATTATAAACAATAAATATTTTTAAAATTAGTTTATAAACTAGCTGTAAGTGGAATTCTGTCTTGAGGCATTTATGGCATCGTGCCTTAAGGCAAATTGCTGGAACTTCCCGTACCGAAATGTTCGAGGAATACTGAATGTTTTCAAATAGATTATTATAAATATTGTAACATTGTCTAATATTTATGAGAATTATATAAACTGAATTGCAGAGTTGAAAATATTTGTAAAGTATATTAGAACTATAGCCAGAATTAAAAATAAAATCTGAAATATTTTTGATAAAAATAAAAAAAAAAAAAAAAAAAAAAAAAAAAAAAAAAAATTGAACAAAATTTTTTTTTCCAAAATCAATTATTTTGTTAAGACAAGCAGAAAGTTCTTTGAATCATTTAAATCGGACGCTTAGTTCTCTCAAAAACTGCCATTTTTTACATATTTAGCTCCATATCTTCGAAATGGCTGGGCCTGCCTTTGCCAAAAACTAATAAGCACTTCTCCCAATCATTACTAATTGAATGCTTTTAGATCATTCAAATCAGATACTCCGTTCTCTCAAAAATTCGATTTCTATTTTCTGCACTCTTTGCTCCGTATCTCCGAAACGGCTGGACCTGCCTTTGCCAAAAACTAATCAGCTCTTTTCCCTATCAATAGGAATCGAATGTTTTTTGAACCATTCAAATCGGTTGATCCGTGCGCCCTAAAACGTGACTGGAAATTTGTATCCATACATACATACACACACACACACACACACACACACACACACAC